TTTTTTTTTTTTTTTTTTTTACGTTAGCAAAGAAAACCCCACTAAAAAAGGGGGTCGCCTTTTTAAATGCGGTGAGATGCACAGATCTGAATTCACATCAATTGACACCCGAGGAAGCCAATCAACAGTGCGCCTGGTCACGTGATCCCGTTGCCACACAGACAGAATCGCCTCAGCCAATCCGCGGCCCGAACACGCTGCCTTCACTGCGTGTGACGACGGAGCAAAACAACAACACCGTTTTCATGAAATGTTTTTCAGCCTTTAGAAGCCAACATTCTTCCTTATTAACACTCATGTCTGATAGTGATGAACCCACGGGGAGTCGTGCATTAAATAAAGCTGCTGTTAAACATACAGAGAGTTTGTGCTGCGACTGAGCATTCATGCAGTTTTTTGTTCCCACTTGTCGAGCTGAAACGCAGTTGCTGGCCAGCTTTCTGCAGTGCGATTAACCCCGTTATTTAGCTGCTTGCAACTCACAAAACCAGTCTGTTAAAACGAATTAAATATTACAACTTGTGGGTTTCTGGTAATAGTTGTGTTAAAAATCCAACACAGAACTAAAAAAAAAAAAAAAAATCCACAGCCTCGTCGATCATGTCAACATTTGTGACGGAAAAAGTACCCCCTTGCCACGTATCAACAGCCTGATACTCACATCGAGAAATAAAACCTGTATATGCTATGGTGGATACGATCTTTAGCTCGGAGGCTAGCATTTTATTTATCAGAAGGTGTGTAAAAACAGCTGTGTGATTGGGGCTGGCTAAGGTTAGCTTCTGGTGGGCCCCGAGTACGCCATCATCAAAACAGAGACAAAGCAGGTTAGGTAAGCTCGGCTCTTTATCCTGCTGTTACACACACAACCTATCACAAACACAACGCTGCTACTGTGTTGTGCAAGTCCTCACTAACTGGACATAACTGCAGCCGAACAGAAAAATGAAACCGGGTAAAACGCAAACACACGGAACTTAACCACAAGGAAAACAAAAATACTCACAATGTCGTGTCGCATTTACTCACTTCTTGCAAGTGAACGCACCGTGCAATGCGACGGTCAGTGAAAGCCACTTTCAGACAATAACAGCCTCTTCCAGAGACTAAGTACTCCTGGTCTGGGCTAACTTTAGTGGTTTGGTTGGGGAAAATAAGAGTTGTAACGGCGAGACGCTGTGCTGGAGAGAAGGAAGAAAGAAACAGCTGAGGGAAAATGTAAACACGGGTCACGTGGTTTGGAAATGTCGAAACAAGGAAACTGTTGCTTATCTATCTATCTATCTATCTATCTATCTATCTATCTATCTATCTATCTATCTATCTATCTATCTATCTATCTATCTGTTTTTTATTTCAATTTATTATATAAATCTGAAAAGTGTGGTGTGCAGTTGTGGTGGCAGAATCATACTGTCCGGATGCTTTTGCTCCTAAAATGTTGCAATTATATTTTTATTATTCGAAAAATGTTATGTAATTGTGTTCCAACATACACTGTTTGCCAAAATATTCACAACTGCACTTTTTTTTTTTAATTTTGTCACCTTTCAATTAAAATTTGGATGTTTTTTCGCAGGATTTATATTTATTGTATTTGTTATGCTGAAAGATTAACCTTACTCCAAGTCTGTTTCTGCAGGTTTTCTTTCAGTATTGCTTACAATATTATCTCCAAACATCCTTCCATCTCTAATTAGCTTTTCTGTTCCTACAGAAAATCATCCCCACAGCATGACTCTGCCACCAAAATATTAAGTTTGGGGAATGATGTTGTCAGAGTTGATGGTCAGTCACAATGTCTTATGACATTTGCTTTCAGGTACATATGGGTTGCTGTTTTGCTGAAGGGCGGTTCAATGCCCCAGTCTACTGCCGCCCCAAACAGGGTTTCTTTCAGAATTTCTCTACATTTAGTCCTACGCACTAAATGAGTCCGACCAGTTTCCTCGTCCTGTGGATGCAAAGCATCCACACAGCTTGATCTAATCACCATACAATTTCAAGATATTTTTATTGTAATGTGTAATTTTTCTACCACTCCATACTTATCTATTCATTTGTACTGTTTTATAAACTCATATAACAAATGAAGCTTTTTGCTATGTGAATAAATGCAAAAAAAAAAAAAAGTTTAAAATCAGCTTTATAAACCTCAAATAAGGAATTGGACTTTTGTTTCACATGCACAGTGTACAGATTAAACATACATATTGCTTAATGTATGTACACATCAAATGTTAAATATTATTTCTTTAGAAGAAATAAAATAAAAAATGAAAGGAAAAGTATGTACAGCATTTTTTGTTTATTTAAAGAAAAAGAAAAATGGCAAAATACTTATTTTGTTTTTCTTATTTTTGTTTCACAGCAGAGTAGTTAACCACTCAAGCTATAGCTTTATTACAGCTTGAGTAGGCCTTCCTTTGTTGAGAATATAGGAAGGCCGACATTTTCTGCAGACCTAGTTGTTCATGGCACTTTGCACCTGTCCTTCTTTGTGGAACAACCAAACCACAGAGTGATGGATGTGCACAGGATGGACTAAATAACGGTCATGTGAAAGATGACAATTGAGTTGCTATAGAAAGTGCAGTCTCTGCTGGACCTTCTTCCAAACAGTATCTGCATGTGAGGATCATCTCATGGCCCCAGAGGACGCAGGGGTTTTGATCATGGGTTTCATTGGGTATGAATACTTTTGCAAATATTCAGTCCCAATAATGTGATTTATTTGTCAGGTCAGAGAAGAAAGCTTCATTTCTAAGGACACAGTAGATTGTAAAATTTCACCCATACTTTTTTCAATGAGCACTATATAGCAGGAGCTTACCTGCTGAAGACGTGTTCACACATCTGGTTATACTTCAGTATGGGGTCTCTTCAGAGCGCACAAGGGGAAGGACATGATGCAAAAACCACTGTGTAAAGAATACTGTTTTTGTTAGCATAAGTTATAGAGCCCTACTTAAAAATCACTGTTTATATCTTTATATCAGCATCTCCCAATATCTACAAATTTAGTGAAGGAAATAAGGAAGAGGGAAGCAGCACTGTACCTTGTGATCAACCTGTTCATTATTTCGACAAGAGAATTTAAAAATAGAAAGGTTGTAGAAAGTGTCATGCACCTTCTAACCCCGCACAGTTCCTATAATGAGAGACCTAAATTTAGCTGTGGAGGATTGGGAATGGATGATCACCTGGTTTAATGTGGAAGAAGCTCCGGTCATCACATGCGCTTTGGCTCTGAGCTGGCCAGCTTGCATTAACGGGCTTTTTCCTCTGAATTTTCTCATGTGTGAGGCAGCACGTGATCTTTTGTTGCATGTATTAGTGCATCTGAAACTTCCTCTTGTGTGGGAGAAAATTAGACACTTTGAACTACCTTATCTTTTACTTCTCTCTCTCTCTTTTTTTTTTGAGCTTTCGTAAAAAAAATATATATATATTTACACAAATAAATATTTTTTTATGAGTAGTTATTCTTCCTGTACCTGAAGATTTTGCTTACTTTCTCCCCCAGTGGTGTTGTTACGCAACAGAGGTGCTGAGATCCACTTGCATGAGCCAAAACTATTAATTCAAAATAAACCCTGACGCACATTTGAGTGTCTCTCGTAACTGAATAGCTACTCATCCAGGATCATTAGTAATGTCACTCACTGCCACTCTCAGAGTCCCTAAATCAAACAAAATCCACACCTCTGTACAAGAAGGGTTTGTTTTTTTGCGTTATAATTAGAGTCTCATGAGATCTGAAGTGAGGGATGGAGAGAGGAGGTTAGGAAAACTGTGGTCCGCACATTGACACTTTCTCTACATCATACTAACACGGAAAATTTTAACCGTTAACTCTTTAGCTCTGATTACATTGTTTATCTGTAAATTTTTAAGTTTACTTTTGTCAGATATCTTATTTAAATGTTTTTATTTTTTTTTTTATTTTTTTTTTTTGCCACAGTCTAGATGATGTGGAAATGGGGGCACAGCATTTAGTCTTCTCTAGCACATGACAAAGACAAAATTAGCTGATATCTGCGGCCAATCCAGTGCTTAAAGAACCATCGTCTACCATATTTTAAAGAGGATCCAACACATTGGGTATTTTAAAAAGCCACTAATATTACATTGTAGTACTCTTAGATTACTTCTAATAGGTGCCCTTTAATTTGTGTGCTTCCTCCGGTGATGCACATCAACATGTGAGGTTACATATAAGGACAAATGCTGGCAGTTATTGTTTTCCTTACCATCTTCTTATTAATTTTACCTGCTTTTGAGGCAGAAAGCTGGTAATTGGGTTGTGGCTTAACATAGTCTAGCCTTTTCTAAAAAGAAAAAAAAAAAAAACTGTGCAATTACTATTGACCCCACAAAGTAACTAAACTTTGATTTCACTCAGAGCTCAGTTTTTTGTGTTCAATTTTCCTAGTGGTGATTTTTTTTTAACTCAAACATGTAAATAAAATAAAACTGAGGAACTATAAGGAACTAAGGAAAAAGAAGAGACACATTTGCTAAGAGAGATGAACAAGTCATCCTTGACTTGATGTCTTTTGTCCATTATTTTTTCTATTTTGTTAACTAATTGCCAACAGTTATCATATTTAATTAGCAATTTTTTAAAATTTTGTCAAATTCACAAAAAGTAGTTTTTTATGTGATTTGATGAGACAAATTTAAAAAAAAAATCTCAAAAGTGTGGAGTAGGTGCAAAGTTGGTATACAGCCTTGTTTACTCTGGTAACCCTAAATAAAATGCAAATAATTGTTTTCCTCAATCTAATGCAGGTCTAAACAGAGTCTACCTGCATGTCTTAGTGTAAATACATCTGTTCTGTGAAGGGATTTGTTAGAGAAATTTAGGGAAGCCAAGAGGCTAATAGTAACACTGGAGAGATCCAAAGTTCAGGTGGGAATATCTGTTGACAGATGTTGGCAAATGTTAGTCAAGCACTCCACAAAACTGGCATTTATGGAAGGGTAACAAAAAATAAGCAATTGTTAGAAGAAAAATAAAAAGAAGCCTCATTGGCAATTTGCAGTGTTAATGAAAAACCAAATGACGTTAAATGGAGTAATCTGGAAATATAATATGTTAGAGGCTGTAAAACATTTGAGACTAGGATGAAGGTTCACCTTCCAGCAGGACAACCCCAGGCATACAGCCAGAGCGACAATGATATGGTTTAAGATCCAAGAATACTCATTTGGTAGAATGGTTCAAAGTCCTAACCTAATCTGAAACAGGATATGTGGCAAGGCAATTGAAAAACATACAGAGACTACATTGCACATGTAGCCTCTCTAAGCTTGATGAAGAAACCTCAGAGACATATAGGAAAGACACCCAGCTATAACATGGTTTCACACCACACTTTTGGGAATAAAAAGTTGAGAGCTATGCATCATTTTCCTTTTACTTCGCAAACATGCAATATTTGTGTTTGTCTATTACATAAAATCTCAGTAAAATATGTTAAAGTTTTGTGACATGATAAAACATAAATGCTTAAAAAATGACAACCCCCAATTATTTTGGGCTGTAAATATATTGTGTTGTTTGATGCACATTGTTTTTCATTTAGTAAAGAGAAAATATGGGACATGTGACATACTGTACATTCTACCCCACTTCTGAAATTTGGCTGACATGCTTTTAAACAAACAGTAGATTAATTAATATTTAGAAGAAATACAATTAATTTAGGTAAGGTTATTATTTGTTGGTCATATAAGATGTAGCCATTTGTTCTCAGTCACTCCTTGGATGTCATGATTGTTTGATCTTTATAAATTTAACTACAACAGCTCCTCAACGTGAGCTTACTTACTCCCCGGGACCAACTCCCTGCTCTTAATGTAATATTTCAGATTTACCACTAGGTGCCAGTGTTGCCCCATGAAAATTTTTGCCCATCGGGCATCAACGTTATTGTTGGATTGCCGGTGCACCTAAAACCTAAAAAAAAAAAAAAAAAATCACACAACCGTTTGAAAAGTTTATTTCTACCATACACAAACTGTACAACACAGCGCATATCTGTTTATTATGAAATAGTAAAAGTAATAGGAAGTTTCCATTTTACAAACTACCCCAACTGAAAAAAACCATTACATTTTAATGTAAAAGAAAAAAAAAGAAAAGAAAGAAAATACAGTACAATTTCATACTAATATCGTTCCACAAAAAGAGCATTTTCACATTACAAAACATCAAATACTAACAGGGAGAAGAAACAT